CTTTATTTAATAATGTCGATTCTTTTCTTTCATAACGTTATAATCGAGGTCAACCCTTTTAGCATTAGTAGCAACAAGCTAATCAACGAGATACTTAATCGCTATAAAGATTTCGTAGTCGTTTATGCTGATAGTAGCGTTGTTAATTTAATGTTTACTTGCTATAACAAAGAGGATACCGCTTTGTTTCTAAGATTAATCGGCTTCGATTACGAATAGAAAAGTCGCAAAAGTTTTATCGACGAGTTCGGCATTAAGCATTACGGTGCTAATAAAGTTAATAATAATATTTATATTTTATAATTATTAATTGATTTTTTATTTAAAAAGAAAGCGCTCAAGTCTTTTGTCTTTTCGACTACTTTGTCTTTTTCTTTAACGTAATTAAAAAGCAATTCACTTATAAAGATATTAAGGTTCGATTGATCTTAAATGATCTTACTCTTAAGCTTTTCGATAGCGATTATGCCGAAGCTAAAAGCATCTTAAAAGAGCTATTGATGCTATACTTTTTTACTATCGATAGCACTTTAGTATACAAACGCTTTACCTTCAAGTTCTCGGATGAAAATGAATTTAAGTAGAGCAACAAGTGTTAAAAGCTAAGAGAGCTATTTGAGTCAAACGAGATTTATTTAAACTATGCTTATAAGCAAGAGCTTGAACTAAAAGCGGAGACCGAGTTGAACGTATTTTACGTAACTGCAGAAGGACGAGTCTTTATTAACTCTTTGTAACTAGTAGACTTAGGCTAAAGAACGGGTCTTTACTAACTTTTAAGCTTTTGTAATTAGTAAATTTGATTAATACTTTAAGTCTTTGATTAGTAAATATGATTAGTAAATGTGATTAGTAAATGTGATTAATAAATGTGATTAGTAAACCTGATTAGTAATTATACATATGCATATTTTTATGTATATAAACCTTATAGAGTAACCTTACGCTTTATAGGGTTTCTTTATAAGGAGGGGCAGAATTTTGTACCCCCCGTGGGTTCCCCCGTAAGGAGGACTCAAAACTCCGTGGGGCCCCATGGGGCCCCATGGAGCAGCCTAGTTTTTCTTATTATTAAAAGCATCTTTTCTCTTTTAACGGCAACGGGTTTTCTTAAGTGTGGCTTCCGTAGCGTCTTCGTCTCGCATTCGAAACTAGCGTGCTTTCAACTCGATAAGCTTAATACGATTAGTTACCGGCTTTTAAAATAACGTAGCTTAAGATTAGATTCGAGTCTTAATCGAAAGCATTGCTTTTTTATCGTATATTATATAAAAAAAAGTGAATCCGATAAAAGTATGCATCGAAATGCGATCAGCGAATAAAACGGCTAGCAATTGCGCAATCTAATCGATGCTTTTAAGCTTACTTAATGCGTTTTTAATTAGTTCGTAGCCGCGTTTTATTATTTTATTCGCTTAAAAGTAGTATACTAAGACTACGACTCGATTAATTTTAAGCAAGTCGATTATCTTTTTCTTAAACTCCGAACTTTCGTCGATTATTAATTAAAAGAAAATCTTATAGCGGCAGATGATGTCTTTTTAAATAAACTTAGCTATCGAAAGCAAGTCTCGAGTCCGAATCGCTTTCGCTTCGACTTATTTATTTATATTATTTTTAATAATATAAACACCCTGCCTGATAGGGTACCTGCTATGGCCACTAGGGCCATACTAGACGGACCCATCTTTTATAAGAGGACATACATCTTTTAGCTAGAATAATCAACGAGCTTTCTACTTACCTTTTCCGACACTTCTTTTATAAAACTATAAGGTCTAGCCTTAAAGCTAGGCTTCTTTACGGCATATCTTTTTAAGTGCTTTTATATTAATGACTTACGCAAAGATTCAACTTTTAATCTTTATCTTTATATAGCTTATTATAATCGCTTGATTCGCAATTAAGTTGATCTTCGTTTATCATTCAGCACTTCACTTTACAATTATAACTTCAAAACAATCAAAACTTTATTTTTAATAAGTTCGGACACCGAAACGCCGAAATAGCTAAAGTGCAATATTTCGGCTCTTTAGTAAAAACTTTCTTTTATTATCAATAAGAAAGAATTTTCATTTATTAATGAAAATATCCTTTTATACTTTAACTTTTATCTTGAATTAAAGCAATTAATATAATCCGGAGTTGTTAGCGAAGCTAATCAATTGATTCTTAAGTTTTTTATAGTTTTAATCTTAATTATTAGTTTACTTTTACAAAAGGTTTACTTTTTTTAATCTCGGATCGAAAATACTTTACGAAAATCGCTTATTTTACTCGTGAACTCGATTTACGAGTCAAAATCAAATAATTTAAAAACCTTTTATTAACCCGATCATTTTTAACACATATATATATTTAATCTTTAAAATACCGAAAACTTTTTTAAGATTTTTAATATCGAAGTCGGCGCCGAGTCACTTTCTTTTTCGTCAGAATCTTTTAAATTTATTAAATCTTTTAGTCGTATTCTTATAAGCTTCGGACTATCTTTATCTTATTTCGACTTTCAACTAAAACCTTTACTTTTACTTCTATCGGAAACACTTGCTTCGGAAATGCCTTTTAAAATAAACACCGGTCTTAAGATCTACATCATTTCTTTTCTTTTTGCTTTTCTTGCTCTTCTACTAAGCCTTGCGCTAATTATAATCGACTTTGCTATCTTTCACGCTTTTATAACTACTCGCATATTATTATTAAGCGCTTTAAAAGCTTTTTGTTTTAATAGTATTAATATCACCGACTTTATCGAAAAGTACGAAGAAACTTATAATAACTTTAGTATTTTTAAAAACGATCGGTTCGTTAAGCTTTTTCGTTATTACGATAACTTTCGCAAAAAGATTATCAAGAGCTTGCTCGAATAAAAAGTTAAAAAAGATTAAGCTGCTTTCGTTAAAGCTTTAAAAGCCGAGTTTCGTAAGAACGATACTTAGTAAATCAAAGACTCGATCGCTTTCTTACGAGAATTTGCTATGCAAGAATAAGATATTAATAACTTAAAAAACTATTATCGCATTTTTTCTCGAGTCTTCGAAAAGCTTATTTTAATACACTTTTTAAGCAAAACCGAACAAAGCCGCTTATTCTTTCTCGGATTGCTCGTCGGAATCCGAAACAAGACGATTAAGCATTGCAAAGTCGACGAACTCGACTTAAACTTTTATACCGCTTTCGACGATTTCGCTGTATTCGCTTTTAAGACCGATTAAATTGCTAAGATTATCGAAGCTATAAATCGAGAAAAGTCTCTTTCAGCTAACTTTATTAAAGATATTCGGACCTTAATCAAAGAGCACACCGAACTAGCTAGCGTTCTTAAGTCTATTAAGAAAGCTTTAATAGTAATGCCGTTCACTCGTGAACTACGGTTTACGAATAAAAAGAAAAGAATTAACAAAATAAGTTTTATAATTAAAAAGTTTTTTAATTTGTAAATTAATACGATCTATAATCGAATTGATTATTTTAAAAACCAAGTCGCTAACTTAACTTCTCGACGCTTTATTTAATTTCAACTTTAAGTTCGATTCGAAAACCGCGACGAAGCTTTTATTAAATATACCGCTTAAGATGCTCGAAGTAAAATCAGCTTCGAAAGTAAAGTTCAAATTATTACTATCAGCTACGGATTATAAAAACGAAGAAAAAGAAAAAGTAAAAGATATAAGAATTAAATACAAGATTATAGCTTTTACGAAAACTCCGAAGACACAACTTAAGCTCTTTATTAATACCGAGATAAATATAAAGCTTTTAAAAACATAATTAATAAAAGATATATTTATATTAATAATTACGGACGCTTTTGCTTAAGACTTAAAAAGATCGGTGCTCTTATCATTTAAAAGAAGCAAAGAAAGATTTAGTTTAAATCTATCGTACTAGACGTTCGTAAAACGAAATACGATAACATCTTAAAGAATCGACTTACTAGCGGACTTAAGACTTATAAACACTTGCTCTTTTATTAACAATTAATCTAACAGCTAGCTTAGTATTAATCCGATCAAAATGCTTAGCAACTAATTAACTAGCTAAAAGAGCTTATTATTATTTTTAAAAGACTAGTCGATACTAAAAACATTAATGTTATAAAGTAGATTAACACGCTTAATTATTTATTTAGCATAGAAGTTGCTTTAATCGAGATTAACGCTACTGTAAAAGACAAAGCCAAGAAGCTTTTTCCGCTTTTAAAAAGATCTAAGCTTATTAAGATCAAGAAGAATGTCCGATAACAAAAAGAAAAGAATTACGGTACTTTTAAAGTTCGTGCTTTTTAAGAATCGAGTACTGCTATAAAAATAAACTCAAAAGATAAGTTGTTCGATAGTATAATTAAAAAAGAGTTTTTTAAATCTTTTAAACTAGCTAAAGCCGACGAAGCTATAAAAGATATAAAAAAAAAGGTTAAGATCACTTAACGAATACTAAAAAGAAAAAAAAAAAGACTTATAAACGAAAGAAGTTTATTAACTTTTACGTTATTATTAAAGCTTAAGAAAAAGTGTAGTGCTTACCAGCACTAAGATCAGGAGGAGATTCTGTAGATTGAATAAAGCTTGGTATATTCTATCTAAAAAGCTCGTTAAGATTTATATACATGTACTTAAGAGCTTTAGTATGCTAAAGGCGCTATTAAGCGAAGTCACATGACATGTCATATATAGCTTAAATAGAACTATGCTTGTTCTGTATAATACACCTTTTAAGTCAATAGCGTAGCTGCTAAGCTGCAAGTAAATAGAAAAGAAAAAAAATAAGTGATTAAGCTTCTTAAACTCGATGTAAACAAAAGAAATTGTTATCGCAATTTAAATAAACAAATAGCGGTTGTTATTATTGATTAAGTGTTAATTAAGAATGCAATTCTTTTTTAAGTCGGTCTTATTACGTAGCGGAAGTCTTTAGCGCCGTCTTTATCGCGTTGCTATATAAGTAAGAGCGCGTCCGTTTTTATTATAATAAACACTTAACCTTTATTTATCTACATAATGCTTTTTAAGCAAGTAACTTAGTCTAATAGAATCGTTAAGCGCGGCCGAAGCCGTTTAAGAATAAATGCTCTTAATAGATTAATATATTTATACTAACTATTAAGAGAATCTTTTCTTTGCTTTAGCTATTGCTGCTGCTGCAGCTACGGCGGTTGCGGCGGTTATATTACGCACTCTTACCTTCGAAGATTCGCTTTTTCTTTTAGACCTTTTTATTAAGCGCTTGCTTATATTAACGACCGTTAAAGCTTTAAAGTGCATTAAGTGCATTAATAATAAGATCACATCGAGGTTTAATAAAAACTGCTATAATTGCGATACGAGCGTTATACGCTATCTCCGGTATGCTAAAAGTAGCTATAGCAACTGCACCGCTGCTTTTGCCGCTGTTAACACCGCTTTCGATAACTTCGTAAGCGCTAAAGATAATAGTATTATATAAAAAGTTCGCTAAAGTTTTTAAGATGCTATGCGATAACAGCTCGCCTTAGATGCTGCCCTTTTAAAAGGTGCTGCTAATAGTGCAAGCGGTCTAGCGAATAGAAGTAGAGGTTTTAAAAGTAATCTCGATGGCTTTATAAGTTTTGCTCTTGCTCTTAAGACTTTCAATTTGAATGTAGCTTTTGTTAGATTGAATAGTCTTATAGCAGCGAACCGTAATCCGGTGACTCGAAGCGCTTCGAGCATGTTACCTTTTCGTAAGTTAAGCTTTTTAACTTACGAAATAATCTAATCTAAGCAGTTCCTTTTAATTAGAACTTCTTCTCGGACTTTATACAAAGACTTTAATTTGCTGCTATAGCAGCCTTTGCGCTTGCGCTAGCCGCTTTTATTGCTCTCGTCGCTTCCGCAACTCTCGTCGCACTTATTATCGTCGCTTCTTTTGCGCTAGTTATTGCGCTTGCCGCTCTCGCGGCGGCGCTCGCCGTTGCTATAACGCTTGCGAAGCGCCGGGCTAAAGTAAAGAGATTGCTAAGAGCTCTAATTGATCTTTTATTATAAAAAGCGAAAGGTAAAAGCGTATAAGATAAGATAAAATGACGGTTAAAATTGCTAAATAAATGTTTTCTTTTAAATCACGTGCAAATGAAAAGAAAAAAAAAATAAGATATAATAAGTGAATAGCATATGCGTGCTATTAAAGCTTTTCGATTAACGCGCGAGCATTTTATAAATTTAAAAGCTTGATAAAGCTCTTAAACTTTTATCGAGTCAAGTTCTTAGTAAGACTATTAGCGTGCATCTTTTTAATAAAAAGATATTGAACTTAAAAGCTCTTTTTAAAGTGCTCTTAGCGCAACTATATATTATGAATATCGACGTAGCGAAGCTTGGTAAAGATACGTTCTTTCTTACTAGCTATAAGCTTAATTGTTTATTGATTATTATAATAAACTACTTAAAGCGCCGCAAATCGAAGGTATAGCTCTTTGAAAAATCGTTAAAGCGTTATAGTCTCTTTTATTATAAGGGCTATGCTAAGAAGCTCCGCTTTAATAAATGATATAATGACTATATCTTGCTTTAAAGCTTTTTAAAAGATCGCACTTTCGAATAAAAACATAATGTACTTTTAAAAAGATCGCTTTATCTTTTCGTTATCGGCGTAAAAAGCGTTAAAAGCTATTATTAGCTCCGACTTGCTAAACTAGCTGTATTGAATACTTTTGAAGCGCGAGCTAAATAAATATCGTAAACATTAGTTTACAGCTCGGAAGTGCTCCGCGCTTAAATTAATGCTAAAGTGAAAGAGTTGAGAAGCTGCAAAAGCTATATTTAAGCGTAGCATTATCGCTATATATAACACGGATCTAACTTTTTCTTAATACTTTTTCACTTGCTTCCGCGAAGTTATCTTTTCATTTTTAACTAGTTTATAGAACGGTAATAGAGTTGCTAAGCAGCGTCCGTCCGTGAGTTCGAATTTTTTAATTATTTTTTTAATATAAGCGTCGTGCATAAGCGTTAGCGTTTCTCGCTAACGGTCTCGAGCGACTTTTATATTAAGAAACCATTTAATATCTTTTATCGCTTCGATCTTATACGCTTTATTAAGACCGTTAATAATCTTTTGCGCTTTAAAAAGATTAAAATAATAATATATAACTTGAATATCGTTTACGTAAAACGTTATAAAGACCGTCTTGTTTAAATTCGTGAAAATACACGGTTCTTTATCGAATAGCGTAAGCTTTAATTTGTCGAGTGTGCTTATAAAGTCGAAATACTATAAAGCTAGCGAGTCTTTAAGTTTATATAAAGCTTTATCGACTTTTACGAGTATACTTTTTTGCTTAAAACCGTTAAAGAGATAATACGTAATTAAAACGCTATCTGTGTATCTTATAGCGTTGATAAAAGCGTTAACGACGTCGAACTGTTTTACTTTTAAATCAAATTCGACTACTATAGCTATCATTATCTTAAACGATCTAGCTGCTAGCGTAGCAGCGTAAGTTAAATAAATAATAAACTCGTTTTAAAAGTCGCTTTTAATTATAATCCTTGATCTAAACTTTACGATCTCTTCGGACGAGTTAGTCTTGTATATAAATACTTATTTAAAAGGTATAGGTTTTGACTTAGCTTCGCTTTCGAGAATCACTTTTTAGCAGTTCTTTTTCTTTAGATTATTTAGTTTTATAAAAGCTCCGTCTTTAAACTCTTTGCTGTATAAGTATCGTTATAGCTTTTTTTAATAAGTAAAAGGTTTTAAATGTTTTCGTTCTTGCGAGTTAAGCTGTTCTAATGATAGCTTAAACGAAGTAGTAGCTGTTATAATAGCGTACAATATCTTGTAATCTTTGCTATCTTCGCGCACGGGTTCGCTATTAGCTTAAAAAGTCGATATAAAATCTAAAACGCGCGAATAGCGGTTCGAATCGGCGCAAGAGTTGTTTAATAAAAGCTTATTGATACTTGCGTATATCTTCGCGCGTTTTCTAGTGCGGCTATTAATAAATAAGTGCTTTTTATTAAAATCGGAATTTTGTTTAAAGTGTTTATAGTTTAATTTCTTATTATTAATGCTCGCTTTAAGAAGGTCTAATAGCTCTTCTTTGATTGTTCGATTTAAATCTCCGCCGGTTATTAACGTAAAAGCTTTCGTTAGTCGGCTTATAGCTTAGCTTTTCGAGCCTCGGCTTTAAATAACAACTTGAAAGTATGATTTGCGCGCTCTTTTATTAAGGCTAGGTTTTTGCTCGTTTACGGTGCTCTTCTTTGCTTTTAGCAGTCTTAAAGCACCTTCGCTTTTGCTTTTAGTTAAAGAGCTAGCGAGACGTTTAGCAATATGGTTCGAATCGTTAAAGTTTATTAGATCGTCTCGTAGAACAGTTGCTTTTAGTATAAACGTATTTATAAAGTCTTTAATTAGAGTTAAAGCTCTTAACGTTTGTGTATCGTTCGGATTAGATAAGGTCGTATTCTTTAAGCTTTGATTAGATCTTTTTAAGTCAACTTCTATTAGGTCTAACGGCTGCTTACTTTTTATATCAGCTGCATTCGTCTCTTTTAAGCGATCTTTTGCAACGTTCTTTATATTAAACAAAGCGTTTTTTATTTAACTAGAGTCTTTAATATCTTTTAGTTTAATAACGATGCTTTTAATCTCGCTAATCGGTTGGCCGATCGATTTTTTCTTGTCTTTAAAATAGAATTAAGTCTTATCGAACGTTACGTTGCGTATAACAATCACTTTATAAAGCATAAGAACATAAACTTTGTATATATTAAAAGCTATATATTCAATTAAGTAGCTTATATATCTTTTTAGTTTAACTTTAAAAGCTCTTTTATTGCGAAAAGCTTTTCGGTTTTTAATCATTAAGTACGCACGAGCGCTATACGTAATTAAACCGCTATAATTTGGTCTTAAGTCGATGTCGATCCGTATAAAGATCGCCGGATCGTATTACTTAAAATATTACTTGAACTAAAGCTATAGCATTTTATTCGGACTCTTTATAAAGCTTTTTGCTTTCGGTGTCATATTGTAAAGGTAGATAGCGGCTAGTGTAGTTTTAAGCTAGAGCTTCTTTAAGAGCTTTGCTTTTACTTTTATTTTAATAAACCGTTTTATCACTTCTTTCTTAGCCTTTTCAGCTCTTTTATTAGGTTCGTAATTAAAAGATAATAGAAGTTCTAACTCGATCTTAATCTCTTTCGCTTATCTTTAATATTTAATAGAGCCGATAACGTTGATTACGATTATTAAAGAATCGTTATTATAGCGTATAACAGCTATTAAAAGACCGTATTTGCGTTTCGTTTATGCTTCGAATTCTTTTAATACTTTTATAATCGTTAATTGCAACTTGTCTTTTAATATAAAGCCGAATAGCTTCTTATTGTATTTATCTTTAATTATTAATAACTATTTGCTCTTGTCGAAACCGTTAAAAAAGTCGAATAGATCTTAAGCGATCTTATAAAATAGCTTAGCTGCTTTGTTATTTGACGTGCGGCGAGATATGACTTGTTAAGCGTGCGTAATAGCACATGCTTTATATTTAACTTTAATAATTTTTTTAAGTCTTACCTCTTTAGCATTATAAGCTAGCGCTTCGAGCGCTTTTTTGCTTAAATGACTTGTTTATAAATGTTAAAGTATCGATAAATCTTCTTTTAAAGCTCGGAAGACATTGCTCTTTTAAAATTTATAACGTATTTGCAAACGCTTTTAAGTTGTAAAAAACATTATTAAGCAAAAGGAATTACGAATCAATTAAGGCAAAGAATAATTAAATAACTTGTATTTAAAAAACGTAAAATTAAACTTCTTTTTTAACTTTCTTAAAACAACGCTTTTTTTAACCTTTTCGTAGCGGAGAGTTGCGTTATATCTCGAGTATTATACGTTAGCTTTATTTAAAAGAGCTTTCGAAATGATATTAATATTAAACCTTTTGACGATAGCGACGTTTTTTAACTTTAAATCTTTCGTTTTAGCTTTATTTGGTCCGTTTAAAGCTCTTTTAAAGACTCTAATACTTCGCTCGACGATTAAAAGACTATTCGTTTTAGCTTCGATGAAATCGGTTGAGCAAGAGCGTTGAATTGACTTTAGCTTTAAAAGATTCTTATCGTTAACAAAGTAAATAGCGCCGCAATTGTCGAGAAGAGTGCTGTTAAATAACTAATGCTTATTATTAGCCGTGCTATAAAGACCGTTAAAAGCAAGATTATCGAGCGTATTAAAAAGCTCGAGATCGATAATAATTATTAACACTTTTTTAAGGTATTTTAACTTATCGCTATCGTTCGATTGCTTTTTTTTGCTTTTTAAGACGATCTTATCGACTTGAATTTATGCTTAACTTTCTTTCGTAATCTCTTTTCGAAGCGCTTTAAACTTAAGCTCTTAAAGCTTTTTCTTTATAACGACGATATCATTTCGGTTCGGCTTTGCGAATCTACTTTCGTTAAAACCGTTAAAGCAATAACAAAAGATCTTGCACTTGATTGCGTTTTAATAGTAGTTTCTCTTTTTAAAGCACGAGCATTTAAAACTTTTAGCAAGTCTTTTAAAGCTATCGAAGCGTTTACCGGACTGCTTAAGAGCAGTGTTATTAACTTTATTACTTCCGGAGGTGCTGCGAATAGTTTGATCTTCGAAAGTAGCGAATACGTTAAAGAGGTTAAAGTTCGGATTGCTAATCTTTTCTTCAACTTAGCTTTTGTACTAATTAAAGTAATCGTAAAAAGTGCGCTTTTAAAGCAATAAAAGCTCGTCGTTTCGAATGACTTTTACGAGCTTTAGCGACGTTTAAGTTAATAACTATTTTTCGTTAATAGCTTTTAAGAATGCTTTTATCGCGAATGTATTCGTCGTCTCGTAAAAGTCGTTCATCTTCGCCAACTTATAAATAGCTCGGTGTTCTTTAATCTATACCGTTAAAGAGACGTTCTTTTGCTTAACTACTTGCAAAGATTTATTATAATTTCGTGCTATCGACAACTTAAAGCTCGAGTCGGATAGACGGCATATTTCTTAAAGCTTT